TTGAGATTAATGGCACTAGTGCACAGTTTTCCTGGTCCTTTGAAGATATTTCAGCTGCTTCCAGGAACCTGCCTATATAATAAGCAAGCACATGAAAAGGAAGCTCTATTTTTTATTAATCAAAATTAATATAGCTACTAGTCCTTCAGTTGAAATATATAGAGGATAATACAGCAATGCAAACCCAGCTCTAGTGGAATATTCGACATACACCACTTTCTATTGGTGGCAATGTAAATAATTCTGTTGTACTACATGAAAGCACAGATTGTTTTTGTAGGAACTTCTTTTTAACTACACACGCTGTTAAAGCAAGAAAGGAAAGATATCAGAGTCGGTAGCTGGCAGCTGTGTAACTGGAAACATTTTGGAATCAGCTTTTGAATCAATCCATAATTTTCATAAATTTGACTAAAAATTGAGATAATATACTGTAGCAAGTCATGATCATTTTAAATCTTCAGCTTGCATGGTGAAAGCTGGAACACAGCATGTGGGTTTAATGCTAATGTACTCTTAAGGCATATAGCTGTATTAATTTAGCATATAAACTACAGTATGTATCACTTCACTGTAAAACATAAGCAATTTGTTACAATGATTCATAGTACAACATGTTGATACTCTTGCAAGTGATTTGTTGCCAAGTACAAAATTACAATGGGCCATGTTCTGTAATCCTTAGTTGTTCCTGACTCAAGCAAAACTCCCCAAAAGATCAGTATATGGACCAAGCCTTGATTTCAGAGTGAGTGTTGCCCGAGCAAAGACTCCAGAATTTGGCCACAGATTTTGAAATTAGGAAGGACAATGAAAATACAATGAGCTAACATTGATTTAAATATAAATTAAAGACTGGGCCAGATCCTCAGTTAGTAAAAAGTGGCATAGTATAGAACCAAGCTGAAAATCTGGTTGATAATCACTCAATTTGATTTAGATTTATTTTTACAGCTAACTTCTCATTTAGGGCCCAACCTTTAAAGCACATCTTTGGATAAGTGATTTCAAACAACAATTAAACCCATTTTTAAGTCTCAGCTCCTTTTATAACAGATGTTATAGCATAAAGGGTAAGGGATCTGTCATGTTTATGTTATAATTACAGCTACAGCTGGTTACATTTAAAACAAAATTCTTTTGGCTTAAAGCGTGTTCCTTTTTGTGAAAATTTCCCTGTCTTTCTTCCAACTCCAATTAAAGTACAAGTAGGCATGTCAGGAGAAGTAAATTATATTCCTAACTCTGTCACATAATTGTCTTGTCTTTGGGCTTTTAACTCTCTGTGGCTCAGTTTCATGAGGGTATTTACCAACGGCGGAGCAGTTGGGTGAGACCTAATTCATTAATATGCTAGAGACATTCAGACTACTGTTCTTTCTTGATGGGCAAACGTGTCAGTGGGATTCCTTTAACATGTTATTTTGTAAATATTTTCACGTGCAACCAGTAAAACAAGAAGGCTTGGCCATTCTATGCTGGTTGGTGCAATGTGATTCAGACAGAAGTTCTAGTAAGGACAAGCTCTTTCTGTCTCATTCTCACCCTCTGATGAAAGCTGCAGAGCATTCATATGGTTTGACACCTCTGAGCATCCCTGGTCAAGAGAATTCAGGGGCTAGTACAGCAGGGATATCGAACTTTCACCATTCCTGGATCATGACAGTCAACAGTGACCTTGCCTTTTTAAAACATAGACCCATCTCCTGAAGTTTTGATTTTTGTTAGATAGACAGTCAAATTGGTCAACTTCAGTCCTTTTACTTTGTCTCTTGAGCAGTTGTACAGCCCCATCCCACTCCCCTTGATATCAATGGGATTTTGGTGATGTGTATTCCTTGAGGCAGGACCCAATGCTGAAAAACTTCCTCATCCCTGTGATCCCACTGTCTTCACAGGAACAACCAGGAGAAGAAATAATCACATGAATGATGAATGCAAGATTGCGCTTCAGGTCCTCAGCTGTCTTTCAGTCTCCTATGGCAGTTTTTCTTAATTGCCATGACACCTGCTGGAACTGTTGAAGGCAGAACTAATTAGCAGAAAGCTTTGCTCCTCACAATCTTGATTCATAGGAAATTAAATAAGTCTGTCATGACTCAAGTCATATTATTTCCTTTCTACATCACTGACAACTTTTAAGGAGCCACTATCCCCCAAAGTGACACAGCATCAGAATCACCCTGACAAATTCTGGTGCTTCCCCTAGAAATGGATCCTCTCTGTAAGTGCTGTACAAGCACAGGGGAGTAACCAGGGCCAGATGTTAGAGTGCTGTTGGGAGGTTACCCTACACATATGACTTGATTTGCAGTGCCCTCCTTTCCTCAGCTTTAAGTGTTCCCCAAACTACTTGAGGGAATTCTCTGTTCAACTATATTGGGTCTATAGCATAAACCCATTTTAGTTTGAAGCTGGTAAGCTATTAGTATTTATATCTTAACCCATGACAACCCTAACACATCCACATACCCATCACTCTTCTTCACTGTTACTGTTAGGGAGGCCTGCCTCAGAAGGGGAAAAAATGCATTTGCCTGCCAAATGACACCTCTCACTTAACCCTTTTCAGGAGTACAACAGGTCACACACATATCTCGTTAATTCCACTATAGTCAATGGAGTTATACTAGGAATTAATTTAGCTCTGAATTTATTTTATTTACAGTATTTATCTACAAGGAGATAAAGAAGGCCAACCTTCCTTATGATCAAATGATCAAAATTTATACATACATTATGGCTTGTTTGGAAAATTAATATTACAAATGACAACAGCTTGTGCCAGATACATAACTTTTTGTTGTTCCCATTTTTGGTCATAGATAACTTAAAGAACTAATAATTTAAAGGGAACACTGAATTAGCTGTACACTTTATTGAAGGGCAAAAAGAATATTAATAACTGGTTTCTCAAACCACATCAGTTCACAGGCTAACAACTCTTTCCTTGCTGTTTGCATAAAGGTTTTTTTAAAAGCTTGTAAAGCAAATGATAAGATGAGATCTATCACTGCAAAACATTGCCCAACATCAGACAGATGTAAATATTATTCATTGTCCCTAGTCTCAGAAGAGATACTGGGAAATATAATGTCACTCCCTTGTGATGCATTGTTCAGCTGAGACTTTGCTTTTAATAAGAACTGTGCTCTCCTGTACATGATTCTTTCCTGTTCTTGCTTTAGCTCAATGTAAGAGCGGGAAAACGTGTGAAAAATGGAGGTGACAGGAAATGCCATGAGGAGGATGCCACTTAGGATGCTGCTTAATGCCACCACCTGGCCTGGAATGCTTCTGGGAACCATGTCGCCGTAGCCTACTGTTGTCATGGTGATTACGGCCCACCAGTAGCATGCAGGGATGCTGGTGAACTCCTGTGAATCTGCCATCTCATTTTCAATGACATACAAGAGTGGTGCAAAAAGTGCAATGGCCACACAAAGGAAGAGCAGCAAGAGTCCAAATTCACGAGTGCACCTACGAGCGGTGAGCCCTAAAGTCTGCAGGCCAAGGGAGTGTCTGGCTAGCCGCATCACGTACAGAATCCTCAAGGCACGGAGTATACGGAGCACCAGCCCGACTTTATCCAGGTAGATGCTTCCAGAACTTGGCTTTTTATAACCCACAGAGGTGGTATCTACTAGCAAAGTGATGTAATAGGGCAGAATGGCAATAATATCAATCAGGGTCAATGGCCTCCTCAGAAATGCAAACTTGCTCTTTGCCTGGATGAATCTTAACAGGAACTCCAATGAAAACCACGCCACGCAGACAGATTCCACAATGAAAATATTGTAGCACATCTGGGAGCATTCACCCTGGAAGAAAGAGAAGGAGTCTGCAATCAGTACATGGACAGTACAGTGCTTGTTGGGTGAAACAGGAGGAACATTTCTGGTGCTAAAGTTATAAAATTAAAAGGAATTGAAGCTGTATTAATGGAAAACCAGACTGGCACATCTATTGAATTACAGGCTCAGCTCAACTCAGGGGCTCAATACTTTGTCCGTTGAAATCAGTGGAAAAACTTCCACTGACTACAGCAGAAACAGGACCTGGCCCTCCTTTCCTAATTGTTTAAAATAAGAAGTTTAATTTATTGAAGTCCCTCCATGTAGTAAAAAAAAACAACAAAAAAAAAAACTTACAAACATTTCCTGAAATGTTTGTCCTCAGTCTCTAGCTCACAGGCCTGCAGATCTCTCCACGGGTCTGGAAGTTTGGTGGCAGGAGTGGTGGCCATGTTAACAGCAGCTCCCCTGCTGCCAAATCGCCAGACCCATGGGGAGCCCTGCAGGCCTGATGATGTAGCCCTGAGTGCTAGTTCGTGCCAGTGCATATGGTTCATTCTGCAACTATATCTGGTGTGTGGGGTCAGGCTGGTATGTGGCCTCCACACACCTGTGGACCAACCCTGGGCACCGGCCCTATACTGGATCAGACCTGAGGCTCAAACCCACATGCGGGTTCCAGCCTGCAGGCTGGCCCTGCGCCACTCACCCGGCCCCAGGGGTCACAAGGTTGAATGCTGCTGGCACAGAACAGTGCACACTGACTGTCATGTAAGACATTCAGTATTGGTCCCTGTGGTCCTTCATCCTGCATCCATGGAAGAAAAATGCAAGTCTTTGGCAGGGGCAGGGGCTGAACTCTTCTGCTTTTTTTCAGCAAATGCGGTTTTCCATCCTAAAATCAACTTACTTTCTCCTCCTCCTCCCTCAAGTCAGGCATGGTGCTGATGGACAGGTTCACTGCAGTAATGGTCACAAACAATACAGATAAACAGGCAAACACTTTTCCAGGAAGTCCAGACTGAGGCCTCTCTACCATGTCTTGCAAATTTTTCATGCACAGGCTAACTTTTGTCTCCTCCACTGTCTCACCCGGGTTTTCATTTTCTATGAGGTCATCCTCCCTTTCGTTCAGTTCTGCAAACTCCTCCATTTTTTGCAGATACCTCCTCTTGCAGCACCAGTCCAGGTTGTCCTCCTCAATACCCCAGTAGAGCAGCTCCTCTTGGAAAGAAAGAGCGCACATCTCTCGCAAGAGCCGAAGCTTCCCAACCCGCAGAAATGTCAGGATTGTCCTGAAGGCTCCTGGGTTGCGATCAAAAAAGAATTCATTGCATGTCACATCGTAATCATCACAGACGTTTAGAATGTCATCAAAATTGTTGCAAAATTTCAATTGGCCCAAGCGTGTCAGGGGGAACTCATCAAGTGTGGTCCATGGGAGTAAGTATTTAATGCCCCCTACATTTATAATTATATGGTGCTTTCGGTCTTCAGGGTGAATGCTTTTAAAGAGATCATTTTCAGGATGAATTAGCTTGGCTCTTTGGTAGAAGACACCCTTGAGGGCTTCTGTTTCTGGAAAGAATGTGTGGTTGAAGGAAGTGTCTGAAGCACAGCTCAGGGCACTATAATCATAATCAGAATTTTCTCCTGCTAAAAGAGTCATCTTGGAAGGTAGCTTCACATCACTTTGATGTTCCTGCAAGAGTTTTCTGGAATAAAGAAAATACATACTTTTGGTTATAGCATGTATGTTTGCATTTTGGGTCTCTGAAACAAAGATGGTAATTGAACTGTGACTATGGATGTAGGGCTGCTAAAGAAACTGGAAAGGAAATAATATGCTTGCAGTGGCTTAGTATTTCAGAATGGGAAATGTAAAAATGAACTGACACAGCTCAGATGTCTGCTATAGAAAGGGAACTGGAAAGAAGTCATCCTGTTTATTTACTTTATAGAAAAATATTCTTATTTGCTTATTTTAGTACCTCTTAAGTATACACACACAAAAGTCAGAAGTTTATTACACTGTTCTCAACTAGCTATACATAATCTTTTTAGGCAATATTTAACTGATTTTAAAAAGTCAAAATAGTTTTGAAAAAATACTTTCACACAGACATGTAATTTTAATGCTTGTATGGCAAGTGTAGATGATAGTAAATATAAATGCCCTGGCAAGTTCCTCTCTGGAATTTCAGACATGATTTAGGAAAGAGTGTTTACTAATGTTAATGAATTCCACACACGTTAGAATGCTTTCCTTTGGATTCAATAATTGTTTATAATTAACATTGTAACCACTGTGCTATATTTAATCTTAGCTGGGAACAAAGATGAAATGACTTTCTTCTGTTACTATAAAGAGCCATAAGGTAGTTATGGCTTAGTTTTAAAAATGCTAAGGATCAAATTACATGCTAGTGTAAATGGAGTCACTTCACAAAAGGAATGGAGTGGCCTTGGGTTCATATTGATGTAAAAATTAGGTCTTAAACCTGCTAAACTACCTCACAGTACTTAATAGTCAATTCAGAATTAATCCCATGGCAGCTCAGGTATAGGAACATTCAACAATAGTTCTACATTTTTTTTCCTGTGTATTCACTTATTTTTATATGAGAAGCTATTTAATTTTATTGGACAAATTGTGTTTTAACAGAGTGACAGTTGAGTGCAATAAATAAGATGATAATCTCACTTTCCAGCCACAGGCTCAGGGAAGGGCAACACATAATATATTCTCCAGCCTTCCACAGCAATATGTATTTTTGCGGTCCGTGTTTGTGTACTTATCATCTGTCCTTAGGTAGCTTGGAGGAACCCCCTACCCCTGTGGGCATTGCTCCACTAAACAGACAGCTGTTCTGTCCAGGGACTAAGTTTTATAAACCAGGCTACTTACTTTAATCACACACCCCCCTGCAGACAAACATCAAGATTATCAAATAGCAGAACAATTAATGCACAGCTGCATTTTTAACCTCAGTGGAAGAGATTTTTTAAGAATGCCCACTCTTACTACAGGGTAGATCTTAACGTTACCCTCAGTACAACCGTTATCTCAGCTTTCCTCTGAAACTTAACAGCAGGAGTCCCTGCTTCCGAAGTAACCTTCTGTACCCTTTCCACAGGTGCAGGCAGACTTAGGTGTGTTCTAGGCGGAGAGGTATCTTTACGTGCTTCACCTGCAACACTTCTCAGTATAAGCATTCAATAATCACCCACCTCTACAGGCAGGATGAATGACTGTGAAAAAGACATATAAGTTGAACAGAGTTTCTTTAATTTTCTACTAAAACAGCAGCAATTCTGACTTGAGGTAAGTAAAGATAGCTTTTCTTCTTGTTTATATCATGTAGCAGAATTTCTTCTGGTTTCCATTGTGGAACAGAACAGCTCTCCATCCTGTGAAAATGGATATGGAGGGAGTGATCCACTGCATCACAGAAAAGGTGCCAAAAACCTCAATATGTTAAACTTCCACTGATTTATCACTTACAAGACTGAGCTTCAAGTTCTTTTGTCTCAGCTTGGAAGGCATAAATATAGCAATCCCCAAAGCAAAAGAACTGTAATGCTGCAAACCCTTTTGAAACCGAGATACAGAGTGAACGACGGGTTGAATGAGTTGGTCTGTACTCAAGTAAAAGTTCTAACTGAGGCCATACATGTTTTGCCTGAATAATGGGCCACTGATTCAAGAGTTATGTTTCTGTAGGAAACAGAGAAAAGGTAGTTTCGTAGAAAAAAAAAAGTGTTTGGATTATTCTTTCCAATACTGGGACCGTCAGTAACTTCATAACAAATACTGGCTCTCTGCTATTGGCTCTATGCAGGTTAGTACAGTCCAGATAAACTAATAAATCTTGCATAAAATGGCAGCAAGGCCTCTAAGTTTGTACCTGCAAAAGAACACAAGTTGGGGAAGCAGATTCAGAGGCCATTTTTCAAAGGCTGCTGCTGTGGTTAGATTAGAGCTAATAAAAGCATTTCCAAGAGAAGCAGACAATGATAGTCAGACTTGCAATTACCGCATGTGCTGTTTCGACTGGTTTCACAGCTAGTATTGTATTCAAGTGTTGCTGAGATATTATCAATGGGAAGGATGCAAAGGGGAATTCCAGCTACTGCGCCAGCTAGGATGAGGGAAAAGCTGTAAAACACCAAGCTGCTGCATAGACATTTAAGTGAGACTCCTTTTGAATAGTTTTAACACCTTGACCATGCCTGGGGAGCAGCTGAGGAGAAAATACATGCATAGTTAATAGAAAATTACAAATAACTGTGTACTGAGTTAAAGTAACCATTTTCCCTTCTGCTATACCAGGTGATGTGGGTTAACAACAATTTACGCACCAAATCTCAACCAGAAAAAAACCCAAGGAGACAGCTCATCTCTGTAATGGGTCTGAGCTGCCTTCATATCCACTGTTGATACACTGAGGAGATGGGGAGGAGGAGTGGTTGGGGGGCATGTAAATGCTTTGGGTGCTGCTGCAGCTCTTCTCCCCTGTGTTGTCCTCACACGAACCCATAGGTACCACCTGGGATAAGTGGACTATAAAAAGGGTTTCTTTCTTTGCCTTCCTACTTTGGGGTCTGTAAGCATTAAGCAGACTGAATTAATCCCTAAATGGTTGGAGTTGTAAACTGTGGCCCTTGGCTGCTGTGTCCTGGTAACTGGAAGTCGAGAAGCCTACATGCTGCACTTCAGCGTTATGATGTTTGTGCTAGAGGCATAGGAGGGGACATAGATGTATGCTTCTAATGCAGACAGCCCCTTGCAACCACCCGTCCACCTTGCTGAAACTCAACACAAGCAAGACAGGTGTGATAGGCACAATGGGGGAAGCACTCCGAACACCAGGCACTACCCTACTTTGTCCTCCACGGAAAGAGTATACCCCAAAATGGTCAAACTGGTTCTCGACTCTAGAGCGATGGCCACAAAAGTGCCTTTTTACTTGCAATGAACCAGAAGACTGCCCCCCATCTTAGCAAAGGCAGACCTCCCCTGCTCTCCAGACTCAGCCGATTGCTACTCCCTGGCTACAAGTATGAACTCCTCCAACCTCAGAAAAGCTTGAAAACACAGCAGTCTCCTTCTCTATCACACCAGCCACCAGAAGCACGTCACTCCTCAACTCAAAGCTCTCCACTCATGGCCCTGTGTCCCCGTGGAATGCTGGGTCAAGTTCAGGATCTTGGCTCAGGTTCAAGGCCTTTGAATAGATTTTCCCAAAATACCTCTCTGGGCATCTCTGTGGCAACAACCTCCCTCCAAAGTTGCATTTCTCTTGGAACAATGAGGCTGTCAACCTACTGGGTGAAGTGTGTGAAAGCAGGAGACCAAACTTTCTTGGAGCTCATTACTGGAGAAGATCAGAATGACCCCACACTTCACAGCCTTCAGAGTAATGTTTAAAATGCACTGTTTGAGCCTGTCATTTCTAGGAATGCAAAGGAACACAGCCAAAAAACAAAACAACCAAAAAAAAAAACCCAAACGAGGAGTAAGAGGAGAAAAAGCAGACGCAAAAGAAAGAATCAAAAGAAAATCGGACAATTAGGGGAAGGACAAGGGGGGGAAGGGAGGACAAAAAGCTGTCCCCTGACTTGGCAGGAATGAAAATAAAGCGGTACATTAAGCTATGTTTGATTTGTTGTACAGGTTGCATTATCCTCTTCAGGCACTGCTTGAGTTCTCACTCGAAGAGGGTACCAAGACTATATGGCTTGGGCACAGATGATCCTATTGCTGATGAGGCTGAACAACAAGCAAACAGTGTTAGTCTCTTCAGGAACGTACAGTGTAAGCCAGTATTAATAGGGTTGTGTAAAGTTTCCATTTGGGGACTTGACTTCTGTACCATTTATAAAGACAATGCTGCTGGTTTGAAAAATAAAAATATTCTGAGGTTACAAAGAGTCTTCCAAAGAAGCCTGCAAAGGGCCAAGTTTTACTGCACGTTAAAGCATCACGTAAAAAACTGTGATTACACTAATGTGCAGTAAAATAAACTACTGCGCATTAAGCATCACTTAAAAACCTTACACATTCGTTGCTGTGCATTAAGACAGCCTCATGTGCATTTCTTTAGTACCTCATTGGAGGTCCTAAGTGTAATGCACATTAGAAAAAGCAGCTTAATGCACATGTAGATGTGCCCAGTGTAACTTAACTGGCCACAGTGGATTTGTACCAGGAATGAACTTGTACCCTTTCAGTCCAATCTGAATGCTGTATCATGCCATGAGGTGCAAAAACCAAGCAACGCTACTGCAGGAGCAAAGCAGCCTCAAACCAGTTCTTCTAGCTGTCTAATCTGAAATTGCAGTTGAAAGAGATGCTTTACATTTTAAGGAAGACCTTGCATTGAAACGTAAACCCTTTAGACAAGTTAGCCAGTTTAGGAGAAGATTTTTCTGGGTGATTAAATAGGACAAATTTTAAGGAGCTGTTGAACTGGGTTTCTCGAATTAAATCAGTCTGGTAAGGGCCAGTGATTAGAAATCCATTAGTTTTTGAGCCAAAGTTCCTTCTGCTCATAGAGTGGTCTGGGCAAAGCACTTCTTCGCTTGCCTTCTCCCTCAGTCTCCTTTTTCCACCCCCACTTGCACCATTTTCTCTGTTTCCTGCTGTGTTTGTGTACTGCTTTTTTGAAGAAGGTCTGACCTTGGCAGCGGGGGCAATATTGAATTCTAGGTGCAATGGTGATAAGTTACTTTAATGGCAAAAAAAAACCCCAACCCTCCCTGAAAACTTCCTTAGGTCACAGCATCTACAGCATATGAATGCCTCTGAATGGTACTGCATGCCTACAAGTAAGAAATTAAGTTTCTTCAGAATCATTTCATGGGGTGATTATTATCTACTGCGTCCCGTGGATTAAATGAGATTTAGAAAGCTGTACGATTGCCCTGAGTTTTCAGCCGGAATTTGGGAAAGCTGTTAAATTAATAGAGTCACAGGAGGGATTATTAAGGATGCACTTCTGAGACAAGGAAACAGAAAGGACATGTTAAAATTCTACTCCCAATTTTTTTTTGGTGTCCTCTGCAGTACTTTGAATTCTGCAGTGCATCTCTGACGTAATCAGAGATTCTGCAAAAAGCCTTGCGACTCTTCTGTGGTGCAGACAACTCCAAGTTGTAGCAAATAGCCCAAGAAAGACACAGGTCCTTCAAACCCTGAATGTCTAAACGTCTCCACAGACTTCTATATTGAGTCTAATGCACGGAGCTTTACCTTTTTGCTGTTTGTCATTTCTTTTTTCCTTTACAGTGGAAAGCAAACTTGTGCCAATGCAGCATGAATACCCTCCATAATGTGCAGCATGAATGTTCCCTCCAAAAATCTTTGCCACAATAAAACTGCCCTGCAGTTTAATGATCATTCCTGCTTTGGGTTTCCCTCAGCAAATAATATTTTGTGCCCTTCTCAGGCTCTATTAAAATTCAACTAGTTACTTTCGTCTAAAGCTCCTTTATTACCTGCCATCTGGCTCTTGCTCTGTATCGCCTCTAACAGAGTACCATGCTCAAGTACTTCAGACTGCATTGCTGCAGGTTTTTTATGTAGCCATAGTGGGTCTCAAACTTCTGTTCACAAAGTGAACTTTTAGCCATATCAAAATGAAGACGCGTAAGTTTGTGCTTCAAGGTTTTTTTTTCCTCCCCTCCAGCTTGTTTCTGCCTCCCCCACAAACAGCTTGGTAAAAGTATCCTGTTGTGGGAAGGAAGATAGGTGCCTGTCTGTTATTCAGTCTGACCCACTGCATCTAATGACAAATCCTGTCAGCATACTAAAGGTGGGCAACAATATTGTCCAACCTGTGTTTAATTTGAGCCTGCTATGCAGCCTAATGCTCCTGCCCACAGCAATCAACAGAGAAGCAACTTTGTCAAAGAAAACTTCACATCTTCCCAGCAAATGACTGATATTGGTTATAACTCACTGCATGGTTTGCTCTGCAAGCTGCTGTGTTTCAAATCCAAGAACATGAGGGTGGGAAGGGACCTCAGGAGGCACCTAGTCCTCAAAGCGGGACTGTCCCCAGCTATCCTCCCAGCCAAGGCTTTGTCTACCTCCCCTTAAAAACCTCCCAGGATGGAGCCTCCACAAGCTCCCTGTGTAACCTGTTCCAGTGCTTCACTACCCTGCATCTGAGCAAGTTCTTCCCAATATTTAACCCAAACTTCCCTTGCTGCAACTGGGGACGGCTGCTCCTTGTTCTGTCCTCTGCCACCACGGAGAACAGCCCAGCTCCATCCTCTTTGCAGCCCCCCTCCAGGTAGGTGAAGGCTGCTATCAAATCCCCTCTCAGTCTTCTGTTCTGCAGACGAAGCAAGCCCGGTTCCCCAGCCCCCCGACCATTTCCACTGCCCTCCGCTGGACTCTCTCCAATTTGGCCCCACTGCTCCTGTAGTGGGGGCCCAGGACTCAGCGGGGCGGAGGGGTGGGAAGGGATCACTTCCCTCCACCCGCCGGCAGCACCCAGGCGCGAGCCGAGGGACTTACAGTGGCA